ATGAGAAATTCTCACCCATTTTTTGTCTGAGATGAAAACACTGTAATTTTGACCAAAAGCCAGAGTATCATCAATAATATTAGTGCCATTCTCACTATAAGTGAAAAAGTTGCATTTGCGAATCCAGAGATGTGAATGAGAACCTGATAGGCGAGTTTTACATGCATAAATATATTTCAACAATCAAATTCGTGGTCGGATCTCCGAATTCGCATACGTGATTTGTCTCATACAGAGTGAGCAGTCCTTATTGCGGAGAAAAGTATTTCACCAATCAGCAGGTGAACATGCAGGTAAACGGCTTTTTGCATACGCGCATCAGCGAGTTAGTCACACCAGTCGGGGCCTCTCTGCCCAATCAGTATAGCCCGCTCTGTAGCTAGTTTGAATCCCGCCTAAATGTATCTTCTTTCTGTTCTCTAAATTTTACTATACGTCTTTTTAATTACCTAACAAAGGCAAATAAGCCGAACGTATGTAACTGAGCACACATGCCTGGATGAATGTGTACCAATAAATAAATCTCATTAAATGTAATATAAATGTGTTTTAACTAGTTTTTTTTTTCGATGAGGTATTCTCATTGCATCCGATTTCCTGCTGCGCGCATGTAAATGATTGCTTAACTGACAACTCATTTCGTCGACACTATCATTTCGATAGACATATTTTTTCTTTAATCCAGAAAATTGTTTGTTTTTTTTTTTATTTAATGAGCATTATTTTGCGGTAATCACGAATATGTCGTTAAATAATTAATTTTTTCAAGCTGCTTTATGGCTCAAGGTTAAAAAGAAGTGCATGGTACATGTCTATTTTAATTTTTATTTGATTTATAAAATATCTTTTTCTTTTGGAAATTAATTTAAATGCATTTCTTTTAAGTTTGGAAAACTTTTATTATTTAAAATTATTTCATTTGAAAATAATTTTGCGATTCAGAGGTGGTGCATGTAAAAATGCTATATCCAATCCTTCAGCAGTGAAATATTGAATTATAGCCCTATGTACAAGACGCACAATGCAGGACATCATTCCCGCAAATTTTAGTCAGAATAAATTTATTCTATGATTATTCATATGCAAATTTAGTCGTTATTTATCATTCATTATTCAAATGTTTGACTAATAATTGATGAATAAATTCATTCATCTTGAGTAATTTTTCTCAATAATTTTTTAAATATTGGGTCATTTTAATTAAAAACTGCTCACCAATTACAGTAATCAATTTCAAATGTAGTTAATTGCAGGCATTAATTACTGTACATAGTAATCTATTGCAAATGTAATTAATCACAGGTGTTAATTATTGTATATAGTAATCAATTACAAATGTAGTTAATTGCAGACAAATATTGTACATAGTAATCAATTAATTGAATATAATCTTGATTACAAGCAATCTAAATCCGTAGTCATTTTAGTGAATGAGTTTATAAATGCATAAAGCTGTTTTTAAACCTATAAATTATGCTGCGACAGTAGACAAAATGGCAACACATTAAATAGCAAATATCTTCAAAATATTATTTAAATAAGTACAATTATCAAAGGAAAAATATTTCACGAACACTGTAAACTACGTTAATTGAATTAAACGAAATCAAATCTATGTAATTAAATTGAATCAAAATTCAATAATTGACAATCAAAATGAGCAGCAGGTGGCATAGAGCAGAACTTTTTACCTGTGGCAACACTTTGCATGCTTTCCCCACTAGCGTGTGGAGAGTCATAGAGGAAGTGTGTTAGTTTCTGTCCTGATTTTCATGTAGATTAAAATATTTTAATTCTTAAAACTATACATTAAACATAATTACATTACATAATTCTAAATTACATTACATAATTCCATTACATATTCAGAAATTGAAATATGAATATCTTAGGGGCAGTTGTGTAATTGTTATAACATTTAGAAATGGAGCAATTGTTACTCATAGTCTGAAACACAGGAGAATATTTTGGAATTACAGTCAAGTGAAAGTAATTTCTTTAGATAAAAATAAAAGAATTTTTGCACATTACTTTTAGTATAATAAGAACAAGCCGGAAGAATGATCCTAAGTAAATTGCACCACATAAAGCACTCTGTTTACATATTTCCTATTATTACGACTGTAAAAATTTTTTGCCAATTTGTGACAGTTTTCAAGATTAAACTTGGTGTAAAGATTAATTACATAATTTATAAGAAAGTATTCAAAGAAAGTAAACAAGATAAAAGTAAAGATAATGAATAAACAAAAAATAAGTAGGTAATGCTTATAAAGCTAAAGATTTTATCCTGGTTTATTACTTAAAATAAGCTTCTGAATTTGATATTTGTCAAAACAATTAGCAAAAAGCATTTAACAAGCTTAATTAAATACACAATTCTTTACAGACAGCGCTGAAAGAGTTTATTTATTTATTTACATTATTTATATATATACAGTCAGACCTTGATATAAGGTTACCCTAAGGGACATCGCAAAAGTGACCTTATAAGCGGGGTGACCTTTTAACCTTTTCATTAGCAGTTCGTAACAAAGCACGTAAATAGTACACTATTATGACTTTTTAAAAATGGTAATACAAATGAAAATGACCAGCCATAAATTAAATATTTAAGTCAATAAATTTTAACAGAATTAGTAAAAAATTAAAAAAAAGTTAGATTTTTAAAAAAAAAATTAATTTAAAACAAAGCTGTTTACAAATTTCCTCAAAGTGTACATACATACATTACATCTTACCTTATTTAAAATAATCATTTATGCAGGTCTGTTTCGTTTTTGGTTTCATTTTTCGAACAATGTTTTCTGGATTTTGTAACTTCTCAAAATGTTCCTCGGCTCCCTTACGGTTTGTAAAAAAATTTCGTATGACATTTATTGCATTGAAAGTGTTCCAGGCGCAAGTGCATCAACCAAATGCAATGATTATTTCGTCTTATATTATTTCTTACATCATTCTTTTCTTGGCAACACATATGTTTGTTTTTTTTGTGTACACTTGTGATAGTAAAAGAGTTTTGTTCTATGAGAAACTTGTTTTAGTGCTGATTATAATTAGAAAAAATTTAAGTTTATAACCAGCACAGAAGGCTTCCACTTGGGTTACAGCTACCGTCTCAGGATCACTGTCATTGTCCTCACTGTCCACAACTTGCGAAACAATTTCAGAAATTGTAGCTTGTTTGTTGGCTGCAACATTTACCTAGAACTCGAGAGGGGTAATTGCCTTGTAAGGAAATTAAATAGGCTTTTGATAGAAAAGAGCTTCCCTCACCTCAGATAAAAATGACCTTATAAGCGATAACAATTTTTAAGACTTGACCATATATCCGATAATCTGTAACACAGAATTCCTATTCAGTGAGCCGGGACTTTGGAAAAGTGACCTTATATTGAGGTCTGACTGTGTATGTGTGTGTATATATATACATATATATATATATATATATGTACATATATATATATATATATATATATACATACATATG